GTTTTTTTTTTTTTTTTTTTTTTTTTTTGCTGTACGCGGGCCTCTCACTGTTGTGGCCTCTCCCGCTGCGGAGCACAGGCTCCCGACGTGCAGGCTTGGCGGCCATGGCTCATGGGCCCAGCCGCTCCGCGGCATGTGGGATCTTCCCGGACCAGGCCACGAACCCGTATCCCCTGCATCGGCAGGCGGACTCTCAAGCACTGCGCCACCAGGGGAGCCCTGTGTTTGATTTTTTTTAATTATGGAAAGACTATGTTTGTTATCCTAAACATGCCAAGGAATTGTCATGCCAGTTTTCCACAGGGAAGGACATGTATTAGTTTCCTAGGGCTGCCATAACAGAGTACCACAAACTGGGTAGCCCAAGACAACAGAAATGGATTATCTCATAGATCTGGAGGCCAAAAGTCCAAGATCAAGATGTCAGCAGCATTGGTTCCTTCTGGAGGCTTTAAGGGAGAATCTGTTAATGTCTTTCTCCTAGCTTCTAGTGGTTGCCAGAAATCCTTGCCTTGCAGACATATTACTCCAGTCTCTGTCTCCATCATCACTTGGGGTTCTCCCTGTGTCCTTGTGTTTTCACATGGCCTTATAAAGACATCAGTCATTGGATTTGGGGCCCACACTAATCCAGCATGACCTCATCTTAACTTGATTATATCTGTAGAGACCCTATTTTCAAATAAGGTCACATTAACAGGTGCTGAGGGTTAGAAATTCAATATTTATCTTTTGGGGGACACAATTCAACCCACAACAGGATAGTTTTGGTATTTTGATTGTTCCAATTTTCTTAAATTAGTTTTTTAAATTGTCTATCTTATAACCCATCTTTAAAAAAATGTAAGAACAAGAGGTGATCTTATTGTACATAAGTGTTCGTATGTCTTCTTCCTATATATTATAAATGTATATATGTGTATATATATGCTAGTTTTCACATTGTCACTAAGAGGATAAATGAAAATGGAAATAATTTTTCATATATTTTAAAAGCATCGTTTTTAACCCTTAAATATGTGTTCGTGTTCAATCAAGTATTCTTATTTTACTTATAACCTTATAAAAGGGCAGCACCCAGATACATCCTAACATGAAAACTCACTGCAATAATAAATTAGATTCTCAGACCAGGGGAAAAAATATGGTTCTGAAAATTTATAATGACTAAGTCAACTAATCAAGCTTGTAATTTCAAGTATATTCAATAAGTATCTAATGAATACTTTCTGTGTACATAAACTATACTTAAAACTGTAGGTTATATGAAGATGAGTGAGATACCATTGCTATCTTTAAGCAGGATAACATAAGTGCAAAAATAATGGTACAAGGCAGTATAAGATAATATGACTATAAATACACATATGAAAGGACCTCTGTACTATAAAAGTATGAGAGAAAGACAATATTGAAATTACAGAAACTTAGATCTTAAAGGATTTTAGAAGTCTTTTAATCTACCTCTCATTGCAAGAATCCTTTTAAGAACTCCAGACAGGTTACCTTTTAGCCTGAGTTTGAAATCTTGTGATTTCAAAGTGACTGACTGAACTCCCTCACAGGCCAGTTCATTCTATTGTTGGACAACTCTCACTATTAGAAAGCTCTTACATTAAAAATGGGTATGGAGTTAGAATTTGTATCTATGTGGCCTGTTTCACTGGCTCTTTAGAACTGAGGCAAATCAAGTGAGATTTTAAAAGCACACGAGTTAAGATTCTAATTCTGCATTAATCTTTGTCCCTGCTCCTTGAATTATTAGTACTCCCACTACAGGATATTTAATCTCGTCTGCTAAATGAATTTTTAAAATTCACCTAGAAGCAACTATATATAAATATCCATGATGAAAATGCATGTATGGTACTTTGGATATCTATGGAGAAAACTAATTACAATTTGCCTGAAGTGTTTTTAAATATTTTAAATCTTAAAAGTTGAGCTTGAAAAATATATCATATAGGTAGACTTCACTCTCAGATAGTTGAAATTGTGCATTTTTAAAAGGCCAGAGAACAACAGGTTACTCTGGTTAAAAGGGAGCTTTCTTTCCCTTAAATTCCATGATATCTCACAGCATTTCTTAAAATGTGCTTCTTAACCCAAGAGTAAATAAGATTGATTTTTACAAATGTCCACAAGGTATAGGAGGAAAAGAATAGAAATAGGAATCATATAGGAATATAGGAATCTTGGAAACTTGCTCAACTTTCTTAATAATGGGAAACAATGACCCTAGTCTCTCAGAAGAAATGTGTTAAACTGATGCAGTTATTAACTGAATCCCATAAATTGCCCAATAAGCTATTGTATGAAATCGGAGATCTCTGTGGCATTACTGACAGCAAAGCAAATTGGTAACATTGGTTCACACCAACCTTTTAGGCGAGGGAACAGCCTACATTATTAGTGAGTACAGGAAGCCTGACTTGTAGGTCCAGCTCTGTCACTAGCTCTGTATGACTTTGGGCAGGTCACGTCACCTCTCTGGGTTTCATATTTCCAATCCGTAAAATAGAGTTGGACTAGATATTTGTAGTCTTCTGCCTCTTAAAATGTTATTGATTCTGTAAAAACATCTGCCTTCATCTTTGCTAGCGCGACAGCGAAAGTCACGATGACATTAAACTTCAAAAGGCCTTAAGAAAATATTTAGGAAATTAGAGAGTTTTGTACCTAATATTTTGATTCTTTCTGGCAACAAGAAACTCATTTTCTTCAGCCTCATCAATAGTTTC